CCCCAAAACCCCAAAACCCCAAAACCCCATTGCAATGAATTATAGTTGAAACTATGAGTATTAAATTCCTAAAAATTTGTATCAATGAGTAACTCAATTATCTTCCTGATCTTGTCGTGCAAAGGGAGATGCTCAACGCACTCCATTTCCCAAGCAGCTTTGGTGCTCAACTGAGTAGTCAAGAGTTTATTTCCATCCAGAGGTAAGGCTTCTTCATCTAATCCACCATCTTCAGATGTCTTTAACGATTTTTCTATGGTTTAGTGAGGTTACCTACCTGGTGTAAAGACTCTTCTAGCTTGATCATCTCCGGTACGAGGAATGTCAGTACATCTGGCTGCGAACCGACAGATCGCTTCAATGAACTCGAGCAGATACATTTCAAGGTGTCTTTGGTAATTAAGTTCGTCTATCTGTGTCATCATTGAGACATTGAATATGGCTCCCATCTCACTCACCCCAATGGAGCCATTCTTAAGTACACCTGTGCTCATCACCATATTAAGGAACTCTTCAATAGAGGAGAACTTAGGTTTACCAGGCTTGGTGTGTTTTCCAGAGTAGATTTCAAAAACAGACTTGATCTGTTTATAATACTTTTTGAGAACTTCATCATTCTGTTGGTTCCATAACTTCTCAACTCTCCACTTATTGCAATCAAATTTGACCATATGTTCTAGGAAGTGCTCCTCGAATAGTTTCTTGACAGCTTGGCTGTGAGTGTAAATCTCCTTTTGAACTTTAGGCGATGTAGGTTTTACAGATCCCATACTCTGTGAGAAATTACTCTTAGCTCTATCGTCACCTCTAGATCTACAATACTTGTGAATAGCAATTCTGACCAGCACTTCCATTAGCTGATACCGCACAAGCCATCTTTCAGGATTGAGGAGCTTCTTTTTATTACCAGCTTTGGTTGCTATAAACTCTAGATCGATATCGCTCAGTTTAAGGTCTTTCCCATCAACAATATCAGTAAGATTTATGATCTCATTGAACACATTCTGGCCGATGCAAGGGACATGCCCACAAGGATTAAACCCTGCATAGTACTTATACGTCTCTCTGATGGGTTTATAGATACTTTCAAGGTAGTTCTTCACCTTGAGTTGTTCCTCTGGGTCCTTAATGATCCTGGGAATTTTGCACTGGGCCCAGTCAAACTCAAATCACTTTCGATGTATATCATTAGTGTCGATCATGTAACCCCAGAAAACTGAGTTTCTGATGTCCCACTCAGGGACAGGTGGATCTTCTTCTATACAAGCAACTTAAGGAACCCCTTATTAAGCGTTATGATCATACATACAACAATGTAGCAAGACTTATAGTTGAGAGAAGTTGTTAAAAATAAGTTTCGAACATCTTAAAATTTTGAGCTCAAAAACTATTCTAAAGCATCATAATTCCGTTTTATTGACCAAAACACTAATTTTAAGCTAAAATAAGCAGTAAATCGTCTTTAAGATCTTGACTAAAATTGAGATAATCACATAATTCTCAAGCATAGTAAGAATTTTCTGACAGATAAAACTAAGAAGAAAGTGTTCAAAAGCAAGATTTGGTGATCATAAAATTGCTGATCCATTTAAGTGAAAGAATTTTAAAAGATCTTGGCTCATAAAGAATTAATCCTATTTATGGGCCTAAAGTATCCTGCCTGGCTTGGTCTCCAGACAAGAAAGTAGGCTATAGATGGAGCAGAAGGATTAGATGACCAATAAGCATGTATAAATTATGCAACAGATTAATGACCGTTACTGAGCCTTATAGTTGCTTAAGTATGTGCTATGAATACAGCAAAGGCACCTTAAGAGTATTAAAAGTTCTATTTAGAGAAGGTTTTACCTATTAAAAATTGGCGTTTGGGTCTAGGAACACAATTCATCTTGGCAACATAGCCTGGACTCAGAATCGCCTTGGTTTGCCTGATACTAGTTGGAATATTCGCATAAGGAATAGTTGTATTTGGGTTATGAAACAGAGACTCTGTTTCTAAATCAGTAGCGTACTTTGAAGCACCGTTGATCGAGAAATAATAGTTGAATGGCTTAGGTGGCACCATACGGATAATCGAAAAAGGCTCCCCTGGGGAGAATTTCATTTGATCTGGACGATAGTCATCGAAGCTAAAGTGAATAAACACTTTGTCTTGCTCTGTGAGATCTGAAGAGGGCGGGTTGTTTGATCTGTATGGGTCAAATTTAAAAGTAGCTTCAGTCCATCCTTCACATATCCAACAGTTGTAATTAGAATTTAGAAGTAGCTTTTTCTCTGAAATGGTTCCTGTTTCTAGCTTAGGTTCCATCCTAGGTGCGAAGTGGCATGAGGAAGGGCTCATCTCGTCTCTACGAAGGAATCCAAGTGAGTCGACTCACATTTTATTTCCTACCATATGCAATCCGAGGATGGTATGATTTTCCTTAAGCCCTTCATGCATTATCTGTCACTCAAGTAGTGAAAATCATCAATATGAAAGGTCCAGATGAATCAAGGTCTTGTTAGTCTTAAACATATCCCTGAAATGCTCTGAAACATTCCAGCTATTTCTGAGGTAATGAGGTATTAGCATTGTTCTCATTTATTTCTGATTCTTCACCATAAAGTTCGGTAAGTTTCTCGAACTCTGTATCAGCTCTGAAGCCACCTCCAATAGGGTTGAATGAGAGCTCAAGGACCTTTAAAGAGTTGTTCGCCTTGAGAGCATCACAGATCGCAGCAGCACCTTTAGAATGAATGTTGTTCCATTTGAGGAACAATGAGTGCATAGAACTGTTCTCTTTTAACATTTCTGCGATGGCTTCAGCACTCCTGCTGGTAAGCTGGTTATGGGACAAGTTGAGTCACTCCATAAGTGGTCGGTATCTAATCGCTTGGCAGAGCTTTATCACCAAGGAATCCCCCACATTGTTCCTTTCAAGGTTGAGTTCTTTGATCCTTTTCTCGTAGTTGAAAATCAGTGAATCCATGTTAAGATCTTTCATACTAGGATTATATGATAAGTTAAGGATTTCGATCTTTCCTGGTAATTTATCAATAATCTTGTCGGCTCCTTTCTGGCTCAAGAATTTATTTTGCAAATCTAGCTGGTTGCTACCCCTCAGAATGATCTTATTATTCGAAATTTCTAATAGGGTTATCCCAATACTTACTCTTCTTCGGGATGAGCACCTTTTTGGTAGCTGGGGACCCGAGATGGGTCCGAGATTTGCTCATCTGGACACTATGCCTCAAATGGGAGTCACGTCGCCCATGAAACTGTGAAGGCATCATGACTCTATTTATGAATATCTAATAACTTTTCTACGGTATCGCTGTCTTCTCCATCAAGATGTTCCTATAAGCTTCACTCTAGCATGAGCTTACATGAGGAGAGAAGGTATTTCATGAATTCATATTTTGGTATCGAGAAGTCTTTGTCTGAATCTCTTCGGCAAATTCAAAATGAAGTGAATCGTCTAACTTCTCCTGCTCGTGTAAAGTAAAAGCCTGTTTCAGTTTGTTCCTTAATATTGCAGTGCTCTTCGCATGATAATCTTGGAAGGAATCTACAGAGATATGATTCTGATTGCTGTTCAGTGTCCTCTTCATGAATGGAGTTTTGGATATCTTTCCCGGCTAGAAATTAACCATACAGCTACTTACAGGCTGTTTTCTAGAAGTTCCTGCCTTATGGTTCTTCTTAAACCCAGAAGGTTTCCCTCGCTTCTTTGGAGTAGGATTGACTCCAAACAAGATATCAGGATTCTTGGGGTATGCTTTGGTTTTCCCTACAGACCCTCTTGAGGATGTATCTTCTCGAGCATGATGTCTTCTTGTGCTGGCTCTTGAATTCATTTTACTATACAGATTCCCTGGTTGCTTATTAGCACCCTCTGAGATTTCAGGGAGCTCTCTCTCATGAGCCTTTACCAAATTTCCTCGATGGTTTCTATAAGTTCTTCGGGTTTTCGACTCAGAGAAATCGATATGGTCTATTTCAATTTTTGGTCGTTCTAAAATCACATATCATATTAAAATCTTCATTACCCAGCTGGGCGAAATTTGGTGTGGACACTTACTCTTTATCATTCTTCTCTGGCGAGGAGACGTGCTCTTCAGAGGCTCTAAACATATTAAGACTGGGCAGGTAAAATGACAATGTGACGATACCTTGGCTCTTGAATTCTCGAGATGAGTTTCCACTCCTATGGCTGGTTCAAAATACAACTTACAATATCTTTTTCTGTCTGAACATTTTGGCTTGAGTGCCCAAGTTTGATCCAGGGGAGGAAACCATCGAGTTTATTTTGGGAATGTTCCAACCAGACCTAGTCTTACTCATTGCCATTGGCTTATGGTCATCCTGCTTTGAAAATTTTGGCGATACTGATGTGATAGCTTTCTATAATTTAGGAAGGTTTATATATCACATTGAAGATCGAATTTGGAGAATATTTGGTTCAGAAGCGGACTTACTGGAGAAAACTTCATGCCAAAACTGCCTTGTAGCCGTTTAATCCTCAAAGTGTCTATATCGGATCGCTTTTGAGAGATATAAAAACCTCAATTTCTCGGAATCCTTAAAGATCTTTTTGCAGTGTTTGAGAATTTTCTATAGAGTTTCATCAAGCCCAAATCAAAGCATACAGTCAGTGATATGAGAGTAAGCAAAGATGTCAAGATTAGGACTTACTTCTTGGATAACTTCTTTGTCAAGATTCCTCTCAAAACTTGTAAATGCTATTTTTGTATAAGACCATTAGAGATATTGGAGCTCAAAACATTTCTCAACAACAAATTCAGGCTTGATAACATTAAAATTTATGCATAGTGGCTCTTAACAAAAGTTACTACTCTTTGCACGAGGTGGTGATCTTGGAAAGAAACTTAAATTCTAGAAGCTATACAACTTATAGATGATACTAAATAACAAGAAATTAGGAGTACTCTAGTAGCACAGGTATCTTCATTTTTAGAGCCAATTCGCAGGCCCTGGATCAGGGCCTGCGAATGGACGAAACAACTAGAAGAAGTCTAAGCTAGCAGGTAAGTATTACTTTGTCTTTCTCCATATTGTATATAATACTTATAACTTTTAATCAATTATTTGAAACCCTCGTGGGGTTTTGGGGTTTTGGGGTTTTGGGGTTTTGGGGTTTTGGGG